CAAAGGTGTAGCCTATTTTTTATATTTACTGAGCGCGTTGAAATTGTTCACCCCGTTAAATTATCACATTTTTCTAGATCAAGAGAATCCCACCCTTGAACCATATCAATAAGGAACTATATGAGCATTCATGACGAAATTATATTTTGTAACGGAACGAGTATTTATTTTGTTTTTATTCTATCTTACAAAACTCATGTATTGTAAATAGAATTATAATGTGGTCGATGGATAGATAATGTATATTTTGAATATATAAATGCTTTGCTTATTATATTTTCATTGTGTATTTGGTGATTGACGATTGTAATCCTTTCAACGGAGAGTAGGGAAGTCACATATTTAATTATTTGATTTTTTACAATTTAAATTTAATTTAAACTCTTACTATTTATAAGTTATATATATATTTTTACGTCGAATATTCATATAGTGACTAAGTTATATATATCAATTATAATAAAAATATAAATATTATTTAAATAATGACATGGAAATATAATTTATTTGAATCTAAAATCTTTATTTATTTAATTATAATATGAACAGTAAATGTTAATATGGTAAATTATAAATAAAAGAACACATAATCAATTAGCTACTTATAAATGCCAAATATATATATATATATATATATGTATGTATAAAGAAGTAATGGGTACATTTCAATTATACATATGTAATCTATAAAGCCCTTAAGTTAAAGCATTAATTGGAGTTTTGATCAAAATACTATTGATGAAACAAATTAGATATGGGATAAAACGCTGCCGCATAAGTCATAACTCTAGATTTAAATAAAGGAAGCCCAAACGATCTCACAATGGGCACAAGGTCCAATTGATTTGTCCATGTAAATCGTTATGATATATTTAGCCCAAATGCATGTCTAAGGGCCCATTACTTTGTAAAGCCTATTTCATCTGCATACTTTCTCAAAAACCCATATGCATGCATATATGTACGTACATATGAAATAATACTAAATTAATTTGTTTATTTGATCATTAAAATAAGAAAATTGCCTTGTGGCTAGCTAACTGGAAATTGAGATAAATAATGTTAATAAATTAATAATTGAAAGAATATGTAGCAAATCAGGAACATGTAGTGCACCACAATCATGTCCTAATTCCAAAAATGAAATGAATATCAATTCAAGTTAAAGACTTGCTCAATTTGTTAGTAATACAGCTACCAAAGCTACCATTTTTTTTTTTAATTTTTTAAATTTTACTAAAATATTATAAAATTTTTCATCTTAAGATTTTTAAAATAGGTGGTGAGCCCATGAAAGCATTTAAGGTGAAATTAAAATAAAAATCCAAAATTATGTGACAAATTTGTAGTTTAACAATCTTATTTTATAATTAATTGTTATTATACCAACGATCGTTGGCAACTTAAGTGTTAAATTTAGAAAGAAAATCGAAATGAAGAAATAATTATATAAGCTTACTATAATTGGTATACATAATTCTTTGACACCAAGGTAAGATTGTCGGATCCCATTCCTTCTCCCCTTCTTCTCAAAATCTGGAACTATGACACGAATTCGTGTCTGTTTGGTATGCAAACTTCACCTATTTGCATCTTATTTTATTTATATATACATACAACACCGTATGTTTGCAAATAGTGTGTATTTGTAATTGTACACTCGTAAGGTTTAATTATACCCACTTGCCTTTTCATTTTAACATTAACAAAAAATATATATATATATACATTAACTAGTTTTAATTTTTTTGAAGAAAAGAAAAATGTATTTCATAATTAATTTTAGTTATACTTTGTAAATTCGAGTCAAACTCTTTTATTACATATTTTTTTTATTAAAAAAATAATTTAGTGAAAAAAATATTATTCACATTTTTTGTTAGTTTATAAATATTTGTATTATTAAAATATATAAATATTGTATTAAAAAAAATTATTGAAAGTATATAGTGGTATTGGGATGTCAAGGTGAGAGGAAATGATATTGTGGAAGCCTTTCTAAATGAGGTTTGTGGCAGATAGAGACTATGAAATCTTAGTAGCCAATCTCCATCACAAACCATCTTCACTCTTTTATCTTTTTCTTTCACAATCTGATTTTCTGTATAATTTTTCAATTATTTTTTAATGAAACATATATATATATACATATATGTATTCAAGTTCTCCTGTTTTGCATATATCTATCTATATATGTGTGTATTTTATACATCATGAATTTAGTTGATCCCGTGGAGAACACAGGGCCACGATGTGACACTACAATCATTTATTCAAATATAAAAAATATCAATAATAATTTGTGGTATTTATCAACAAATAAAAATAAAATGTATGTAATTTATAAAATATATACACCTAAAAATTTTTAAGTGTAATAAATTAAGATTGAAAAAGAATAAAAAGTAAAAAAATTATAAGATCATAATATAATAATAATTAGGGAAAATTATCATTTTCCCTATTTTTTAGATTCAATACAATTATTGATTTCCCAAGGCTGTGGGACCCAATGAAATATAAAAGACACAGGTATGGAAGGGTGTGTGGATAGAACGCGCGATCCAACCGCCAATCAGAATTCAGAACAAAATAAAAGCGGAACCCTTCCTAATCCGGCTACAATTATCCGCGTTTCCAAACGCCTCCCCAAACCCCTTTGGTCAATTCTTTTACACTCAACTACCTTCATTCCTTTTCAACAATTGGAACTCTTTTAAACAAACAAAACGAAGCCACCACACGCCACAAAACCTTCTTCTCCCTATCTCTAGGTCTCTCTCCTCTCTCCTTTTCTCCTGGACTTGAGTTGAGGGCTAGGGTTTTGGGCGAAGAAGTTCTTATTGAATTCCGTACAGACCTTCATGGCTGTTTCCACTGGTTTCGCCTCCGCGTTTGCCGGTGCTAAATTGGAGACCTTGTTGTTGAATCCTTCCTCATCGACGCCTTCGCCATTGACGCATTTGGCACCTCAAAATGTTCGAGTCTCTTGCAGACCAAACAGGAACAGGAGACTCCTCGTTCAGAGAGTGAGATGCGAGGTCTCCACATCGGATGCTTCGATTGGTGCCGACCGACTCGATGCTGCCAAAGCATCCAGCGTCTCTGCGCTCGAGCAGCTCAAGACATCCGCCGCTGACAGTGCGTTTCTCTTTTTTATCTACTCATTTTCTTTCTTCGTCGTGATTAATTGATTGGCTTTAGCTTTGGATTTTTGGCTAGTTTTGTGTGTGATGTTGTCTTGGATTTTGATTTTGAGAATAATTGTTATTTTCGGTCAATGCTTTTGTTTAATTGTGAACAGTCCGGTTTTGGAAGTGAGTCATGTGCATCTGCTATTTTTATTCGCAGTTTGCGGTTGTCTCGTTAGGAAAGGGTTTTGACTTTTCCGTAGTCAAGTTTTTAATGGCTGACTATGATGATTTAAAGGAGAAAAGGGTAACCCAAATTGAATGTTCAAACCGTAACGACAAGTTCAATTGAAAAGAAGAATCATATCTAGTAGCCAGGGTTTGCTGTAACTATTGGAAGATTAGTCTTTTGCTCAATTCCTTCGAGGGATTTGTTTTACACCTGAACTTCAAAGCTTTGCAGCTTCTTATAAAAGACGAATGAGATTTTTATTCTCTATGAAAATATTGTCTTTCATACTTTTTGTACTCCCCATTTCCTATAAAATTGATTTTCAGCATCAGTTCAGTTGTTCCTCTCTGCGTGCTGAATTTTCTCTATGCTGAGTAACTTCAAAATAGCTTAGGGAAGCCTGCATGTAAAGAAAACTATCAATTTTGTCCTGTCAGATCTTTTATTACAGAAGCACCTGAAAAACATGCTTGCTGTTAGATTATCGCACATATAATTGGGTATTTGGATAGTTAAAAAGCAGCCCGTAACCCACAGGTAACAGACATACCTTGGGAGTCATCTTTTTCTGCAAACCATAAGTAACAGTAGCCTCTAAATATGACAGACAACATGGATTTGAGTGGAAGTCCAAGAATGGCTTTAAGAATTCTCTGCTTTGCAGACTAGTTTAATCTAGCGGCTGATATTATGGTGCTACATGCCAAGTTGGTAGCCTCGACCCTTTGGATTTTATCTATTAAGAAATGCCTCACCTGTATTGTTGAGTATATTAGAGTCCTCATTACCGGCCGCCAATTTATTTCTGAACTACAGATTTAAATCCCCAGATGCTGTTGTCGCAAAAAAAATAAGATGCTTCTGGTTATCTCAATAATTTATGAAAAGTTATAAATAAGTTTTTGGTGAAAATACAAACGTCTGTTAGCAATATACTGATGATCTCATCATTGCCTTGTATTAGGATACACAAAGGAAAGAAGCAGCATCGTGGTAATTGGGCTTAGTGTTCATACTGCCCCTGTTGAAATGCGTGAAAAACTTGCCATCCCTGAAGCAGAATGGCCTCGAGCCATTGGGGAGTTATGTAGTTTGAACCATATAGAGGAGGCTGCTGTTCTTAGCACCTGCAACAGAATGGAGATATATGTTTTGGCTCTTTCTCAGCATCGTGGAGTCAAAGAAGTGACTGAATGGATGTCGAAGGTACTTTTTTCACATCCTGATGCGTTTTGTTTTCTCACCAAAGTTGGGAATGCGGATCACATGGGGGGACCTTGAGGTTTCTTTAGCTGCCAATGGGAGATATGTTCTTCAGATTTTGCAGTTTTCCTAACATGTCCCATGACAATTTTTAATTTTATTTTGAATTCCAAACATATGAAAGTCAAGCCAAAAGTTTCAGTTTTCTTTTTTTCCCTCCACATTCATTATTTTTCACCTTCATATTTGAATAAGTTTCCTGCATTAATTTAGGCTCTTTGGTGGTAGTAACTAACATCTCCCGTTCTTTTCTCCCAGACAAGTGGTATCCCAGTTTCTGAGATTTGTCAGCACCGATTTTTACTGCATAACAAAGATGCCACACAGCATATTTTTGAAGTCTCAGCAGGTCTTGACTCCCTTGTCCTAGGAGAAGGTCAAATCCTTGCTCAGGTTAAACAAGTTGTAAAACTTGGGCAAGGAGTCAATGGCTTTGGGAGGAACATTAGTGGACTTTTCAAGCATGCAATAACTGTTGGAAAGCGTGTTAGGACTGAAACAAATATTGCTGCTGGGGCTGTTTCTGTTAGTTCAGCAGCTGTTGAACTTGCAATGATGAAACTTCCTGAATCTTCACATGCTTCTGTGAGGATTTTGGTGATTGGTGCAGGAAAGATGGGGAA